CGCGCTCGTCACCCCAAACGTGAACGAGGGTGCTGCCAAACGCCGAGCAGGGCGACCATCTGAGCCTAAGCCCTCCACAGAAGAGCCATGTATGCCTAGCATGTGATTTGGACAGAAAAGTTCCCTTTGCAGGTGGCAGCGGCGCCTTCACAACCCTGCGATGGAGAGACCCCCCCCTCGGCCTCGCCAGAAACACTGCACTAGGAGCAGGAAGTGCAGCAGATAAACAAATGCATCTGCAGTTTCCCTGCTGGGTGGGATATAAGACAACTTCTCATTTCCCCTCATGGAAGAACTACTTCTAAAAATCAAAGAAAAATAAACTGCTGCCCTGAAGAGCTGTTCTTTACAAAACCAGTGTTGTTTCCACATCAGAGAGCAAACGAACGGACACAACAGGACAATACATAGGATCTGCTTTCCCTGCTTAAAGAGTTTTCCCTAGTAGGAAAATAATTATGTGACTTGGCCATAAAATTCATGCTAAAATGAGAAAGACTAAAACTACAAACGTTGTTCTTTCTTCTGCCTTTTAGGCTCTTACTGAGAGAAGTACGCTCCGTGAAGCATCAATGTGTGAATGAAGATACCCAAGAGAACAACTACAGGGCTGAACCCTAAATAACAGTCACGACCTTGATGAACCAATCCAAAAAAAACAAGTATCTAAATAACAGAAGCCTTTGTTTGGAGGACAGATACCAATTACATGACATAGCATTTGAAAATACCCAAAGTCTAGCGATACAGATGTTAAATACGAACTTTTTCAGTTCTGTGCGTGTACAAACCAAAATACCCATTCAACATGTAGGCCCTCCATGCCTGTGCACGAGCCACCACCCAGTGGCCAAAAAGCCTCCGAGAGCCACATGCTCTCCCTACAGTCCGTGAGATTGGACCACGTAACGCGGACTCCCACGTCACACATGATTTCTGGCAGCCTTCCTGAAGGGTTAACAGCAGCGTGTTGCTCCCTTTTGGGCACGGGGGCAATCTCCAGCTATGCAAGGCTTGTTCTGAGATGCTACCGGACAGGAGGCCGCATCCCAAGTTGTGCCCAAGCACTGGGCTCCAGGGGGATAACTTGAATTATTAGGACTGGGAGATACCTGCATAGATGCAGGCAGTGCAGCAGGCTGTCAAATTCCAAGATACTTCTACAGTTCTCCTGTAAAAGCAGTTTATTATTATGTCATGTCTGGTATTCTGGTGTTACTGCTTCCAAACACCTAGCTAATCACGTCTCGGAGGGTTTTGGCCTACTTGGAGCAACCACAACGAGAATGAGGAAGTGCCATCAGGAATTGTCTTTGGCAGACGTTACTCATTTCTTGCGCATCAGCCCGTCTGCACTCTTAACACGTTTACGAGTCTTACATAAATGGCTTGCGTGGGCTTTCCCTTGCTGAGTTATCTCCGCTAATTGAAATTCTTAATTGCTCAGGGGAAAAAAAACCCCACAGCCCAGCTGGTTATGGCTGAGGTCTAGAGCTGCCACCAAACCATGGTCCTGCTGCTCCACAGAGCTGCCGCGCTGGGGTTGTGCGAGCCAAGGAGCCAACGTCCTTATTCCATTTGCTCCTCTAACTTCTCTCCCAGACATAAACTCAGAAATGACATTTGGCTCCGCTTTTTGTCTTTAAAATTAATTAAAAACAGAGCTTACAGTCCTTACAAGTTCATTTCCAGCTCTACGTGTTACAGCTGACTTCAGTGGATAACTCTGGATTTATGACACTGTAGCCAAAGGAAGATATGAGCTCACTGCGTACAGCTTTAAAAAAAAAGTTTCTGAGGATGCTGAACTGCTTATCTCCTTGCTCCTTGTTACAAGGTGGATTGTAACGGTAGGGGAAAAGCTCTTCTTTATGGCAGAGTATTTCAGCTTTGCTTAGAGTAAACCTAGCACAGAAGCAACAGTATGCAACTAGGGTTAAAAAGGCCACCAAAGCAATGCAAATAATTAATAGCAAAAAATGCTCTCTCCCTTATTAAAATTCAATTAACTTATTATATGGTGCAGTTATCAGTCATTAGAAAAAGATGTTCTTACTCAAAATTGAACTATTTTGAGGAAGAAGCTTTATTACTTCTAACCAGGCAGAACTTAATGCTCATTTATCCCTTTTCCCTGCCTGCTTCTGCCTTCCCCAAAGGCTTCCCACCATTACAAGAGATGAGCAGAAGGATGCTTAGGCTCCTTCAGGCACCACACATCACAAGCTTGATTTACAAAATTCAGAAGGTAAATAATATAACCTGGAGGAATCAAATGATAACACTGTTCAACTAAAAACAGACACTAATATTCCAAGGAAAACATATAAAATAGGAGATGACTGTTTCATACCACGCTTTTTTTCCTGCAAAGCCTCTTCCCTACTCTGCTTTTTATTAACGAAGACATGCACATGAAGTAATCCCCTTCATTAATCAACTTCTTTCTTTCAATTTCTTCCCACTTGAAGTGACAATCCTCCGTTTAGATCATGTTTAAACGGTGTAGCAGAGACTGACTTTGGGCAGGGGGGCGCGTGCCAGACATCAGATGAAATTCTTCAGAAACAGAGCTCAGCTTCAAAAGGCCTCTGCACTAGAAGGGAAGAGCGAAGAGGATAGTTTCTGGTGAACGGCAGATGCAACTCCTCGCTTGGGAAGAGGAGGGCAAGGAAGCACAGGCATCACTCCCCTCTTGGGGCAAGGGGAAGAGGGCAATCTCTTCTGAAAGCACCAGCTGACCAACACTTTTGTCTTCCATATGCAATTTGACTCTATTAAGTGACTACATAATGGGAAGATCTGACTGTACTGAAAGGTTAGCTGCAAAGCCTACTGGAAGGCGGGCTCTTCCATCTGGTCTTCATTTGCTCTTTTTTCATCTGTCCCAGATGCAGCTGTCCGCACCGCTAACGCAAGCAACACGCAGCACCCCTGCACTCGCCATCTGCAAAGCCAACCTGCACGTTTCTGCTCCAGCTTTACGAGGAGAAAACGCCCACCGCTGAGCTGATGTACTGACAGCATATCAAGTCAAGGGTAACTGCTCCGTGGTGGAGGACCCTTCTCAGCCTCATCATGGGCAGGAGAACAGAAAGCTGGAACGGCACCAGGCCCGGCGCTGCCACCCTTCCGCTCACGCAGTTGCTTCCTGGCCCTCGCAGGCTTCAACTCCTCACCACAGAAAGGCTGCTCAATGCCAGCCTGGGGGACCCCAGCCCTGGCGCCTTGTTCTGCTGAATGAGAAACACATTGAGATTGTCTTGTTGCTCGCACATCTGCTTTTCCTCTGTTCTAGCACACGCTCAAGCAAACCCAAGCTGTGGAGCTGTGCTTTAGTTCGGGGCCAGGCTGGGCTCTCTTTTGGCCAATGCAGAAGGTGCCATCCAAATTTTCCTCCTCGATCCGATCCAAAGGCTGCTGTCATCTCTCCAGAATAGCTGCTGAGGGGAAGTGCCAGAGCAAAACAGTAAGTTAAACCAGTATCTCCTCCTGCAGCTGTGGTCAGCAATGCCGTCCGCCATGGCAAGGAGACCTCAACAACACAACTTGAGCCCCAGCAGTGCCCCACACACAGCCGCAAGGGCTAGGGACAGCAGGAATTGCCTCTGGAGAACAGGACGTGAACCAAACGCCCGGGCCAGCGCGGCAAAAAGGGCCCTACAAACCGTTCTGCCTCGGTGCTTCCCACCTGACTCCTACCACACAGCCAGGCTAACGGATCTTGAAGGCTTTTCCTGATTAAGATCGTTCCTGCACAAGTTCCAGCTCACTGAAGGAAACGTTTTAAGTTGCTATACTTAAAAAGTCCGTAACCACAGTGGGCTTACGCTCTATTTCCATTTAATTCATTTGATCCTGATACTTGAAACCAGAAGGAACTTAGGGCAAGACGCTTTGTTGTTACTGTTGGCGCACGCTTAATTGTTGAACGTAAGTCTGAAAGATCAGCTGGATTAAAAGATCTGCTCCAACTAAATCTTAAGTCCTTATACGCACTCTCTATTACTACGATAGCTCAGCACCTTCTAGTTTTCATGCCTTTATGCACTGAACCCTGAGCAAGGAATTGAGTTTACTGTTTGGAGCCACCAAATAATCGAGGTGCCTTTGTAGCCATCAGTTTTAACCCATCTCCCACGCAAGGTCAGCAGGGATTCACGGACAAGGCATCCCTCCAAGGCGCTCGCCTACTCAGCGCACTCGAGCAGTAGTATCCTGAAGTGGTAAATCACCCTATAACTTCATTCATTGCAAGTAAACTCCTGTCAGACTTTGGATGGAGCTGAAGAGCTCCATAAAAACATTTGTAGAGAATTTGGACACAGAACAATGAAAACTCTCTCTCCTGTTCCCACGGGTTACAGGAACGTTAAGAAACCATTGCAGTTAAACTGCTTAGTAAGAGAGAAGGAGAACAGTAAAATCTGTGCAACAAATATGTTTTCATAAAATCAGGTACTGCCATAAGTGTTGTCTGAGGTGTTTTTCTCATAAAGAGTGTTTTGGCTTTGGAGCCAAGAAAGAGTTTTGGCTTTGGAGCCAAAACACTGAAGACTATCTTCTCACAAGTGCATTCATCTGCGTTATCACAACTTCAAGAGGTGCAAGTTAGGATCTTAGAGTAAGCAGATTTCCACCCCAAAACATGAAACAGATGGAGTCCCTAAAGTAGGATTACCATCCCAAATTGCTAGGTGACCCAGAGGAAAACGTTGCAGCAAACAAAACAAAAAACCAAAACAAAGCTACAAAAAGGGGGAACGCAGGCAGGACCCAGGTGCAGATGGGGAGATGGACAGACACGCTGGAGATCAAACTCACCACAGGACAAAGCAAACCAGGCACTACTAAAATCCAGAGCAACTTGTGGCCTCTTGTGCCAGTAATGAAGGTGACACGAGTTGTCTTTTTACGCGACACACAGCAGTGTTTTACCTGCAAAGGTCTGGAGAGGAGAGACGGGCAGAGCGGGGGGAAGAGGAGAGACTCCCCTGTACCTCGCAGCGGCTGGCTCGCACAGGAGCCAAAGCGAGGAGGGCAGCGAGCTGTGCGCTTGTGCCGCGTGAAAGGGCCACCGCCGGCCAGGCGAGGCCGCGGGACTCCCTCCTGCTCGGGCTGGATGCAGCCTCCATCACGCGCAACTGCACCACGTGCAGAGGAGAATTTTTGTTTTGCAACTTATTCACTCGTTAAGCGCGGTCAGAAATCTGGCAATGCAAGTTTCACCATTCCAACATCGGTTTTGCCTCAGCTGTTAAAAAATCCCCAAACCAATTACATTATCAGCCAGCAGCCGCCCTCACCCCATCCCCAGGCAGTCCCCAGCCGCGTGGTGCTCACAAAAGGACACCCCGACACGGCCACGCACGAATTCCAAAGGGGAGGGGGGGGAAGAGTTAGATTTTTTTTTTTTTTTTTTTTTTTTTTTTTTTTTTTTAAATAAACCACATCTATTAACAGGGGTAACCACAGCAGGATGAGTAATGAACCGATCTTAAGTATTTACCTGCTTAGAGCTTATTTGACCACCCTAAAGACTGCTAAATAATTAAATCAGTTGGACTAAGCAACTAGATGTAATAAAGTTTGGCCATATACTTCTACTGAGTGAGACTCTCGAGTCTACTTGACACTCGACTTTCTCCCTCTTTGGGTATACCAAATTGCTTTGGAAAAGCAATTTTTGACACCTCCTTATCAGACACAGCGGCTTACTGCAGCCGCAGCCAGGCAAACGCAATGCACTTGCCAACATTTTGCAAAGCCAGGAACAAACCCAGCTGCCCGGTTTGCCGGGATCGCAGAGCTCCATAGAAGAAGGGAGAGGAGGTGGCGACGTTTCCGGGATGGATGTTAACGCCGTTTTGCAGCGCAGATCAGCGGGCAGAGAGGAGGCCGCTGGGCTGGGGCTGCCCCCCGCCCCGGGAGCT